TGAACGGACCAAATGCAAGATGAAGAAGTTTTTTATTGTTACATTTCAACTTGCATGAACAAATACATACATATATATATATATATATATATATATATATATATATATATATATATATATATATATTGTTCTAATTTTTTTAATAATTCTTTTATACATATTATTATACTCTTTAGTTAATTTTTCAAATTTTATATTACTTTATTTGTTTATATCAATGGCTTTAGTTTCAAAATCAACATTCAAGTACAAGACTTTACCGGTGTGGTGTCACTTACGTTATTTGATCGTGACACAAAGAAACTTTTTTGAAAAAACCGCACAAGAGCTGGTTCAAAAGTTTAATGAGGATATCGATATTAACTTCATTTATATAAAACTAATTTTTTTTACCTTTTGTCTATCTAATTTTATAACCATTTATTTTTAAGTTTTAGGAGGGTAATATGGAGATTTATTCATTGTCTTTGAATGTACTTTTCAATAAAAAAAAGTTAGTGTTCAAATTCAAATTTCATATTATAATTTGAAGAACAAAGTTGATTGTTGTGGAATCTCAAATTTCATTGTTGATAATACAATCATTGTTGAATTGAAAAAAAAATTAACATCAAACAGAAAACATTTTTTTACGAAGAATACTACAAACATCTCTAAATATTATTAAAAGAGAAGTTTTAATTCACCAATGAAGCAATCAAGACCCTTGATTGCATTTCAATCCTATATTTTCCACAATTAGCTTAGATTGTTGACATCATCTTATTCAAATAAAATTCAAACACAATTACATTTAATTATAGAATCTGTAATAATTATAGAATCTTTAAATTCAATAATTACATTATCAATTATAGAATATCATTCTATTTATATACAAGATATTAGTTTCTTTAATTAATATTGTTCCTAATTGAACTCCCTTATTTATAGCTTCCGGCGTCAAAAGTCAAACCCGTTTTTTTTTTTTAAACTCATTAAATAAGCATATCAATAATTTTGTCATTAACCTATAAAATATAATATAATCCTATTAAATTAGTAAAATATTTAAGAGTCAAAAATAAAATCAATATTATTTATAATTTATCTCCCAGTATATCTCACGTAAGATAAATCAATTTGAGATAATAGTTTTGAATTTAAACTCATTAATCAAGCAAGTAAATTAATTTGAAATTTTGATTCAATATAAATGATATCATTTTTTTCTAGATGAATAACCGAAAATCTTCAAGATAATATTTTAGGTTTTTTTTTTTTTTTTTTTTTTTTTTGGTACGATAATGATTTCCTTATTGAAAACAACACACACACACACACACACACACACACACACACACACATATATATATATATATATATATATATATATATATATATATGATTACATTGTAGTTGTTCTTCTTATGATTTTAGATTGAGTCGTACGATTTACAGTGTTCTTCTTCAACGATCTTATTCTATAATTCTTTTTTCTAGGTTCTTCCTTTACCATGTTCTCCTTCTTCTTCTACAATTTCTTGTATTTACTTTTTTTTATTACTTATTATTACTGTATTCCTGTTGACAGATCATTAAAAAAATTAATCAATCTACTTTAAGTATATTAGTTTCATTAATTTAGTTATAGAAACCAAATTATATCCTTTATATTAATTATTTTAATATACTGACCTACGTTTGTCAAGAGAAAGCTATAAAAATCGTTTTAACGTATGAAGGCAAAACTCATGGAACGGCTCAAAAGCAAGATGAAGAAGTTTTTTATTGTTACACTTCAACTTGCATGAACAAATACATATATCTTGTTCTAAGTTTTTCAATAATTCTTTTAAACATATTATTATGCTCTTTAGTCAAATTTTCTAATTTTATATTATTGTATTTGTTTATATCAATAGCATTAGTTTTAAAATCGACATTTAAGTACAAGACTTTACCGGTGTGGTGTCACTTACGTTATTTGACCGTGACACAAAGAAACTTCTGGAAAAACCGTGCAAGAGTTGCTTCAAAAGTTTAATGAAGTTATCGATATTAACTTCATTTATATAAAACTAATTTTTTAACTTTTATCTATCTATTTTTATAACCATTTTTTTAAAAAATTTTTGTAGGATAATTTGGAGATTTATCCATTTTCTTTGAATGTACTTTTCGATAAAAAGTTGGTGTTCAAATTCAAATTTCACATTATAATTTGAAGAACAAATTTGATGGTTATGCAATCTCAAACTTCACTGTTGATAATACAATCGTTGTTGAATTGGAAAAAAAATTAACATCGAACAAGAAACATTCTTTACGAAGAATACAACAAATATTACACTTATTAAATTTCATTTTTTATATTTCAGTTGACCAACTAACATATTTCTATGTACTACAAATGTAGGCGTCAGAATCCGATTCGTTTAATGTTTTATTGGTAGAAGTCGGATCTCAAGACACATTAAATTAGAAAGTTTTAAATATAATATAACTAAATCTAATATATTAAAAATTTTATATTATTATTAACTTTTAGATTGACATATGAATTTATTTTCTACATTTAGGATGTTGTTTCGTTTACTGATGATAATGTCACACCCGCTTCGAATCTTGATAAAAACACTGCAACATGACTAAGTGGACATCCTTTAAAAAATGTATGGACATGAAGAATTAAATGCAACCGGTAAGATGTTTACGATGTTGATAATCTGACAACCATGTCCTCAAACAAACGACCATCAATATCAACGACAAATCGTACTTCTAAAAAAGGCAAGCCAAAACTATTAATTCCAAAGCAAGATAAATAATATATGATTTTCATGATTTTGTTTGAGTAGTTGAGTGATTTGAATATTATACATTTCATATTTTGTTTACATACTATTTGGTTTTGGGGTTTGATTTTTGATGACTTTATTTCAAACTATTCGTTTTTGGGTTAGAATTTTGATCAATTGAATTCATTTTGGGTTTTATGAAATGTTGAATTATTCATCTATTTCCTTTTAGGTTTAAACTCATATGAATTTATAAATTTAATCATATTTTACTCTATTATTTCATTTGAATGTGAATATTTCAACATTGTTACAATGTTGTTATTCATTACAACATCAATATAAACATTAGAAAACTACCACTTTTTAGGAAATTGTAAAATTTTATAAATCTTTTAACCGTTAAAAAACAATTATTTATATTTCTTGTGAAATTATTTAGAAATTTATTAGTAATATTTACCATTGAAATATTATTATTTTTAGATATTAATGATATCATACAATTTTATAGATTTAAATAATAAAACTCATTACAATGATGCTAGAGAGAGATGAAGACCAAGACGTTTACATTTACTAAATAGAATATTGATATCTATGTCTAAAAGAGAAACTTTATTCCATCATCTAAAGCAATAAAGAGTTTTAATTGTGTTTCACTTATACATTTTCCACCATTAGATCAAATTGTTTATGTTTTATTGACCGATGTGTGGTCAAACATGTTGTCCATTAATGTTTTCGCTCAAACCTTCACCAATTTCCTTTATCCCTAAAATAAAATTCAAAATTCAAAATTTAAATCCTCTCCAAATTTAAACCTGCAATTTATGCACTGGCCATCCTATATGTTTGCAAATCAACATGATATATCTTCATAATTATTCAATTTTTCTCAATGTAGATCGATGGTACCAAAATTCATCAAGAAAAATAATTATTTAAAATTTAAATCTTATTAATATAGTAAATACCTCAAGTTTCAAAAGTAATAATCGGTTTGATAGATGTTAAATTACAATTGCTCGATTTCCAACTATCCAACTCAATAATTGTATGTATTTATTCTTAAACTTACCATTTTTTATAATGTTATTGATTATATTTACTATATTTAAGTTTAAATTGCAGAGAATTTTACTTGAAAGTGATGAACATTAGTTGATGTTTGTATTGAAGCTTGAGGATGATGCAAAACTCTAAATACCTTAGTGGTATTATCCTACATACTTATTAATTGAGTATTTCGAAAAAAAATATATTTTCCATTAACTTTGACAACAAAATTGTTGAATTAAGCATATTTTTATGCTTATAAATTTGTTTTCACTACTCACTTGTACTTATCATTTTGAAGATGAGAAAATATTAATCATGACTATATTGAAAAGTGCCAAAAAGATTATTTTGATAATACCTCTCTGACATGATCTTCAAATGTTCTTTGCTCAATTCTTTGTTTTTTATTTTTATCGTTTTTGTGTATTTCATTTGTTTCTTTAAGAAACTCAGTTTTCTACTAGTTTTCATAAAAAGTTGTTGAATTAAGCTTACTTTTATGACTATAAATTTGTCAATTTTCTATTAATAAATCAAGTGTAATTGAATTTGAACAATTGTTAAATTTCATATTCTATAATGTAATTAATGCACTAATTAATCAAATAATAATACATGTCCAAGTGGTTGGGTACCTCTAGGACAATAAGTAAACATGCAAATTATAAGCAATTCCACAATATTGTATTTTTTACTAACTTTAAATTAACAATTACTTCTTTCACTTGCTTAAGATTATTGATTACTCATATAAGTTTGTAATAAAATAAAATTTTGATAAATTGAAAAAATTGTTCAACAAAACCTAATTGGTTATAGGGAAAATGACTTATGAAGGTAATTAACTATTTCAATTGTCCATATATAGGTAATGTTCTTTTTTTTGTTCTCATTAATGAAACCAACTTGTTATTTATGTTCACATTTAGGTAATATGACCGACTATCACCTGTTTTCACCCATTTTACCCAGTTGCATCAATGTAACTCATCTAAAACAAAATACGTGGATTCTTACGTGGCCATTGCTCCCCTGTCTCATTTAATTAGGGTTTGACAAGTTCAATTTCACCAAAATCACCTCCCGATTTTAGATTCGATTCATCAAATTGAAGATTAGAGTTTGGAGTTGAAGCTACGTCTTGAAGTCGACTGTAAGATGGCATCCCAATCATCTACAGGTATGTATTTAACTGTAGATGCTCATTATAGTGGACTATTTTCCCCAAATCCGTTGAAATACTTAGACCCCGAAAAAATAACAGTGTGTGATGTTGATTTTGGAGGATTTACATACAAAGATTTTCTTTTGTGGCTTAGGAATTTAACCAATGGAAGTTGTGATAATGTGTACTATTGTAGTAGAAAGGAAACCTTGGGTGAGGGTATTATAAGAATCGATAGTGATGCTGATTATTGGGAGTTTGTTGAAGCTACTTATACTCCTGAAGCTAAGTTGGATGTCTACATTAACCACCAAAATGATCCAATCCTTGATTAGGCTGAAAATAAGGTGTTGTCAGATGGCAACGAATAAAAGGATGACAATGAAGAAGAGGATGACAAGGAAGAAGAGGATGACAGTGATGAAGATGATAACTTGGAGTATATTATCGCATATGAGCATGCAGTTGATAAAGAAGTCCATACCTTTAACAAAACTATTGGTGATGATTTTTAAACAAACTTTCAGTTATTGGTAAGCTTAGTGATGATGATGAACATAATGATGGAAAAGATGATAAGGTTGTATTCCTTGTCCATGATGAGAATCAAGAATGGGAGAAGATGGTGCCGATTCTAGGTATGAAGTTTGCTAACCCAATGCAATTGAAGCTATGTATAACCAATTATGCAATGAAGAATATGTATGATTTGTGGTATGAAAAAAGTGATCATAATAGGTTATTGGTGAAATGTTGTAAAGGTAAGAAGAACAAGAAGAATTAAGGTTGTCCCTTTAGGTTGTGGGCAACCTGGATGAGCAATGAAAGGTCATTCTAGATTAAATCTTTAATTGATAACCATAATTGCTCAAGAGTCTTCAAATTTGGGTCCATTATTATCTATAAATGGATAGGGAATCATTTCATGAATGAGATACTCCAGAAACGAAAGATGAGTGTGAGGAAATTGAAGGCTAAAGTTAGCAAGACATTTAATTTGATTGCAAGTGTGGGACAGTGCAAAAATGCTAGTAGGTATGCATTTAAGGATATAGAGGGTACTTTAAAGGAACACTATGCTAAAACTTGGAGCTGTGGAGAAGAGCTAAGAAGAACCAACCCTGGATCAACAGTGAAGATGGATGTGGATGTCATGCTTGATGGAGCCACTTACTTCTCAAAGCTCTATGTATGTTTAAAGGGTGTGAAGGATGGATGGATTAAAGGTTGTAGAAGGGTAATTGGACTAGATAGTTGCTTCTTAAAAGGTGTTTGCAGAGGTCATTTGCTTTCTGTTGTAGGTAGGGATGCTAACAACCATATCTACCCTCTTGCTTGGGGTGTGGTTGCAGTGGAGAGTAAGGAAACATGGAAGGGGTTTGTTGACCTTCTACTTGACGAAATTGGAATGGGAACTGGACATGGGTTGACATTAATATCAAACCAACACAAAGTAATGATTTTATATGCTCTTTTTATTTAATACTTAATTTATTTGAAATTTATGTTTTGTTTGTAATGCTAAGAGGGATTACTTGAGGCTATCAAGGAAATGGTGTCTGCAGCAGAGTATAGACAATGTGCCAGACACATATGTGCTAACTTCATGAAAAAATTCAAGGGTCAACAGTTTAGTAAACTTTTCTGGTATGGTGCTACTTCTACTACCCATGCTAAATTTGAGCAGCATATGAATAAACTCAAGAAGATAGAACCACTTGCCTATGATCATCTGATGGAGAGGGACCCTAAAACTTGGAGTAAAGCATTCTTTCAGATTGTCAGGGCATGTGATGCATATGAAAAATGGTGTATCTAAGAGTTTTAACTCAATCATTGGAGCTGCCAGGAAGAGACCTGTAATCACTATGTTAGAGGGAATTAGAATTTATGTGATGGAAAGACTTTGTAGACAAAATAGTAAGGGAAGCTCTTGGGGAGACTTAAATATATGTCCTGCCATTAGACTGAAATTATCCAAGATTAAGCAACTTTAAAGGTTAGTGATTGAATACCTTATATGTATGTATGTATATATATATATATATATATATATATATATATGCGTGTGTGTGTGTGTATGTGTGTCTGTGTGTGACATTCAATTGTGTATACTTACATTTAAGTGTGTGTGGACAAATTTTGGAGAGTTGTACCATCTGGTTATCTAACAGTTTGAAGTGAGACTTTTATATGATGCATATGTTGTAGACCTTGGTAAGAAGACATGTGGATGTAGAGGTTGGAAATTAACTGGTTACCCTTGTGTGCATGCATATGTTGTCATGTCAAACCTCAATAGGGATCCAGAGGACTATGTATCACCATGGTTGACCACTACAATGTTTTGTAATGCCTGTATGTACATCATTAAGCCACTAAATGATAGTGATATGTGGCTTGATGTGGACTACATCCAGCCATTGCCTCCTAGAAATAAAAGGATGCCAGGAAGACCATCAACAAAAAGGAAAAGGGATCAGATTGAGAATGAACTAAAGGGCAATAAGCATACAGTCTCAATAAGGGGTATTGTTATGAGATGCAACATATGTAGAGATCCAGGGCATAACAAAGCAAAATGTCCTCAAAAACCAATTGGGGAATCATCTAATCCAAAGCCAAAGTCAAAGCCAAAGCCAAAGTCAAAAAATAAAGAAGCCAAAAAAGAAGGTATTTGCCTTCCTTTACCTTTTGATTACAATATAACAACTTCTAATGCTAATATTTGAAGTATTTCATAACAGGTAAAGTGAAGGTTGAATTGGTTCAAGAAGTTGATGTGGAAAGTGATAGTAACAGTGAAGTTCAAAGGGAGCCTGATAGTGAGGTGGAGTCTTATGAAGTTGATTTTGAAAAGGGTAATCATACATATGAAGATGTAGACCAACCTGAGGTTGAAGCTAAAGTTGGAGGGGTTGAAGAACAGGTTAAAGTTGAAGCACATGTTGAAGCACTTGTTGAAGTTGAAGTTGAAGAAGGTGAATACCAAGCTGCAGTTGTAGATCAAGTTGAAGTTGAAGTTCAAGGACAGGGTGAAGGTCAAGAAGGAGAAGAACTTGTTGTACTTCAAGATCCAGTTGGACAAGATGACCAAGGACAGGCTGCACTTCAAGATCCAGTGGAAGAGGAGCATATGCAATAAGTACCAACAGTTCAAGTTCTACAAGGAAAGAGAAAAAGGAAACCTTCAGAAAGAATCACAAAAATTCAGATAAGAAGGAAGTGGGAAGGGAAACAGGGGAGTACTAGTGAAAATCCAATGGAATTGGATTAGAATTTGACACTTTGTTATTTTTTGGCATCATTGATTGGGAATCTTTTGTCTAGTAATATGTGTAACTTTTGGACTTGTGTCTAGTCATATGTGTAAGTTTTGGAATCTTGTGTGTACCTTTTGGCAGTAATGCATGTGTACCTGTGTTAAATTCCAATGTTTTGTAAACAATGTTTCCTAGGAATCCAATGTTTGATTATACTACATTCCAATGTTTGATTATATTACATTCCCATGTTTAATTGTATTACATTCTAGTGTTTAAGTATTTTTCATTCTAATACATGAAACAAAAACATCTGAAACAAAAAAAAAGTAAAAAAAAGTTTCATCATTTCATTACATACATCAACATACACAAAAATAGGTGGAGTACATCATTCTAATACCAATCAAGTTTCATTCATGAACTACATCATTCAACCCTAATATATCATGAACTACAATCAAAACAACATTTTCACATACAATACAAATAACAAAATCAATGCCACTTTGTGAGTAAACAACTTCCACTTGACTTTGTCCAATTCTTGTCTATTAACCAAATTGGTGTTGTTTTCTTGTTCGATATTCATCCTACATATGCTGATTTCATTCTCCAAAGTGCAAATTTTCAAGGTTAGATAACAGCTTTCTTCTGGTTTCCTCCAGTGAGGCTTTCTTCCATCTGTCCTCTCTTCATCCTCGTCCAGCCATTGCCAGAATTTACAGCTTGGACTTTTTCCATTTCTGAAGAAAAATTTAAAAAATGTTAAATTAAAGGATGAAGAAGAATGAAAGGGTATTCAACAAAATGAAAAAGAAGATAGTTGCAATCTATTCAACATTACTGATTACCATCGAGTTTTGACAAAGTCTAAATTTTCTTCCAGGGTTGTCAGGGGTTCTTGAAGTCTTCACACAAGATGGTAAGTTGCAATCACATGGATGATCAGCTTGAAATTCATCTTGCCGTTTTGAAGAATAAGATGAGGAAGAAGAATCAATCGTCGATCTAGGGTTCAAAATCAGGGGTGTAATCGTATGACTTCTTATACTATAAACAAGGAGAATATATGCAAAAATTGCCAGGTGGCTGCCACATAAGCAAAAACAGGTGATAGCCAGTCATATTACCTAAATGTGAACATAAATAACAAGTTGGTTTCATTAATGAGAACAAAACAAAGAGCATTACCAATATATGGACAATCGAAACAGTTAGTTACCTTCACAAGTCATTTTCCCATGGTTATATATCAATTTAGGCTTCTTTTTGTGTTGTCATGTTTATTAATTTGGCTATATAGGATTCATTTGAAGTTCAATTTCTCTACAAAAATGTTAATGTTCACATTCAAGTAGAAACAATCACAATTGGTAAGTATTCCAAATGATTTTTCACTTACATTAATAAAATCTGTTACTTTAAATGGTGTATTCTCATAGAAGTCATACCGGTTGTCACTATATAAATGTTCTAGCGGTCTATAGAAGAATCATAGCGACTCTATGAATAATTTTGCTGCGTTTTCAATGAAGGATCACTTTATCAACATTCGTTATCTAAAGTTCTTTCTCTTATTTTTTATATACATGCGTGTCATAACAATAAGGTAGAAAGAGGTGTTAGTAACCATTAAAGATGAAAAGATAAGATATATTTTAAGAATATTATATAAAGTATAAATTGTGGATTTGTGATATTTATTTCTCTAAAAAACATGTTGTTTGATTGATATGTTATACATTTAAGGTTTTCTTTCTTTCTTTCTTTATGTTTTATTATTATTTTTTTTTTGTAATTTGATTTTGACAAGTTTGATCTAATTTTAATAATTGAAGCAGGTAGGAAAGATATGTGCTAACGATTTTGAATTTGTATTGCCCTCTAGAAACCAGCTGTAGCCTCATAGACCATCCTTCATATCTTGATAGGGTTTAGTATTTCCCCAAACTTGGCTACAAGAAGTCATTGATGCACTTATTGAATCAAACATCTAAATTGAATTTCATTTGTTAGTTGGATGCAGTGACCAAAATGCAAAATTTGTGAAAATTCATTATTATTTATTAGTGTTAACCTTTGGCAAATTATGAAACTAATATTATATTTTTATTCATAACATGTTTTTTTTCTAATAATAATTTCTTTGATCAGAAGATATGTATATATGATTGGGTGTAGCATGAAAAATATATTTTAATTCTTATAAGGAAAAAATACTTTATAAATTTACCAACATAAAATATTTTATGGTTATGATAATGCACTTAAACTGTAATATTTATCTAATTTCTTTGCATAATTTAATATTGTTGGTACATATAACAATTTATTGTTGCTTTTGTTTTTACATGACCAATATGAAAAGAATCATGTGAGCCTTCATAGAGGTTGGTACACCAGATAAAATCAATTAATAAAGCTACTACACAACATGTTTTAATCAAAAAATCGAATCCTATTGTAATAAAACAAAGATCACGTGGATCATTTATGTTAAAAAAAAAAAATACTATATTAAAAAACCAAATGATTATAATATAAATATTAAATATTTATATTTTTAGTAAGTTTGGTTCAAAAAATCTAACAATAAATCTAACTAATATTTTTTTATTAAAATTTCACATAAGATAATATTATATATTAATGTAATATATATTTAATTTATGTTCCCACATATATCATAATCTATTTAATTACAAAAGTATATTATTATAACATTTTTATAGCATAAAAATCATCAAATTCAATAAAGTTATTGATAACCACAAAATCACTCTCTTATTTAAAAAAATAAAAAATAAAAAAATTAGGATTTGCACACGAGTGACTAACACGTGTGGGCAAGAAAATATCTAAGGTACCAAAAAAATATCTTTTCTAACCATGGTTACTTTCTTACTAACTATAGTCACCGATACAAAACCATGGTTACGCTAAGCAACAGGAGCGGCGAGGAGCGCACTGCGCACTCGGAGCAACCTAACAAACCCTAGTCTCTCATCCAAATCGTGCCTATATAACGACCCCATTATCGCCTCTTTCTACAACATCCTCATTTCCCCTTTCAAAGCTTCAAGCTTTTTATCTATTCTCAATTTATTCAGCTCAAAATGGCCTCTGCTGATGTCGAGTACAGATGTTTCGTCGGTGGGCTTGCATGGGCCACCTCAGACCGATCACTTGAAGATGCGTTTTCTCAGTACGGCGAGATCGTCGATTCGAAGGTCCGTTTGTAGCAGAGACGTGATTTGGATCCATGGCGATTCGGTTTTGTTTGACAAATCACTGTTCTGTTACTGTTACTTTACTATGGTTTCTTGATCTGTTACTGTTTCTCTGTTACTTTTTCTGATTACTAATACGGTACGTTCATCCTCTTGAGGTGACGATCGACTGGTTTTAGCGTTTTATGTTTCGTTTTGCTTCCATTTTTCGTAATGCAACGCAATTATTTGATTATTGATTTTTGCGATTTGTGCAGATCATTAACGATCGTGAGACTGGAAGATCCAGGGGATTTGGTTTCGTAACATTCAAGGAGGAGCAATCATTGAGAGACGCCATTGAGGGGATGAATGGTCAGAGCCTTGACGGACGTAACATTACAGTTAACGAGGCCCAATCACGCAGCGGTGGTGGAGGTGGTGGTCGCCGTGAAGGAGGAGGTGGATATGGAGGTGGTCGTCGTGAAGGTGGTGGTGGAGGATATGGAGGCGGTGGTGGAGGATATGGCGGTGGCCGTGACCGTGGATACGGTGGCGGTGACGGTGGATCCCGTTACTCCAGGGGTGGTGGAGAATCTGAAGGAAACTGGAGGAATTAGATTGACAAACATTTAGGTTTTAGTTGATCGGAACCTTGTTTCTTGTTCTATCTGCTATCGTTTTCTTCGTTTTTGATTATCCGGTGATTAATGTGGTTCTGGTGTATTGATCTATGCGAAATTTTATAATGGAATTGGATCGGATTCAGCAGTTACTATGAGTTTTGTTTAATCCATTTTTGAAAATTCGGATTCTTCATCACTATAAATTAAGGAACAGTTACGTATTTTCCATATTAGGATATAACTTAAATCACTAACTCCACTTTTTTCTAATATAAGCTATAATTATATTAAAAATAATCATGTGTTAAGAAAAATAACATAAAATTAAATTAAAAAATTATTATATATTTATGCTTTTTGGAGTAAGGACCAAATTAAAATGATTTCTTTTCCCATGTGTTACGGTAGGTACTTTAAATATTTTAGTGGTAGTGGATTATGATTTTAAGTTGATAGAATCCAATGATACTAATAGCCAATCATTACCATTGTTTGCCATATTTTATTAAGAAAAACATGTTGATTGGATATACATAGAGGTTTATTCAAGATCAACCAAGCTATAACGATATTCTTTAAGAGCATCTCAAATCCATTATTGATCTCCATTTTCTCTTCCATTTTTTCCAGTATCCCTCGCCTCCCAACTCACCTCCATTGTTCCTTCATTTAGGGGTTTTTTCATTATATTCCACAAAATATAGTGCTGTTCATTTCTCGAAATGAACGCATTGTCTGTTTTAGTTTTATATATTTGCAAATTTTAATTTATTTTTACCTATTTAATTTAAATATAATATTTAATACTTATAATATTTTGTTATATATTAAATTATATTAATTAATTATAAATATAATTTTTTTTCATCAAATTCATATAAAAATCTAAATACATATTAATATTTTAAAAAACAATAACGTATTTTATAAAAACTTATAATTAAAAGTATGCATGTCTAATATTTATACAAACATATGTATAATATTTATTTAAAAATGTATGTGTAATATTTTTTATAAATGTATGTATAATATTTATTTATA